GGTCCACGAGGAAGTGGAACTTCACGTCGATGTGTTTACTCGGTCGTGCGAACCGGATTCTTCACGAGGGCGATGGCGGGCTGGTTGTCCACCATCGATCTTTGGTGGGTGAGCTTCCACGCCGTTAGCTCGCCCAAAGCAATTTTCTAGATAGCTACACAACTTGCACGCCATCGCGGCGCGCCGCTCGTACTCGCCTTTTGCACGTAGATAGCGCCACCACCTTCGCTTTTTCAAAAACGACCATGAAATTGGGGCTGACCCGAGGAAGACGAGTACGCCAAAAGGTGCTCCGTCGTCCGTCGATGTCCCCCGCCATGTCCGCATCGGCCAACACCGTGAGTTGCAGCCCTACTTCCCTTGGTCTTTGGGAAGATGATTCCATGATTCACCGCCCCTTGACGTAAGCGTAGTAGCCGCTTCACCGTAGCCCAAATGATCCTCTGGGATCCTCCATGAAGCGATCGACGTAGCCCACGGCCGAACGCAAATGTCCGCCTTGTGTGGACTAGGTAGCGTGAGACCGCCGATGATGCTCGGTAGAGTGTTGTATCTACTTTTGCCGCGGTCGTCCTTCTTCGCCGCCTTCAACCGCCTCCATCGGAGTCACGCATGGCTTGCACTCCACCATGCCGCCCTCTCCAATAGCTTGGAGGCATATGGCGCTTTGCCCGAAGCGTGAGTTCCTCCTTCCCTATCTCACCTCGATGCCGAGGTAGTAGGAGAGAGCGCCCGAGATCGCTCATTCGAAAATGAGCTGCCATCTCTCGCTTGAAGCTGTTGATATCCTCCATGCGCGCGCCGGTGACGATTAAGTCATCCACATACACGCCGACCATGAGTTCTTCCTTCCCCCATCGTCGCGTGTAGAGTGCATGCTCGGTTGCGCACCTCTGAAACCCAAGCTCGCCCAGCGTGGTGTCAAGCTTGGCGTTCCATGCTCGAGGGGCTTGCCTCAGCCCGTAGAGCGCTTTGCGTAGTCGGAGCACCCTATGCTCCTCTCCCTTGACAATAACCACGAGGTTGCCCGACGAAGACCGTTTCTGCCAGCTCACCGTTGAGGAAGGCCGATTTAACGTCCAAGTGATGGACACGCCAGTCCTATGCTGCCGCCAAAGCAAGTAGCAAATGGACCGACTCCATGCGCGCTACTGGTGCAAAGACCTCCTCAAAATCGATGCCCTCGCGCTGGACAAAGCCTCGGGCGACGAGGCGCGCCTTGTACTTGACAATGGCACCGAGCTCATCCCTTTTGACTTTGTACACCCACTTCAGGCTGATCGGATGGCATCCTGGGGGTGGATCAATGAGCTGCCAAGTCTTGTTTTCCTCGATCACCGTCATCTCCTCCAGCATTGCCCGTCGCCAGTTTCCATCGCGCTCGGCTAGTGCGAACGTGGGTGGTTCCTCTGCACTGACGAGTAGCAGCTCTGCGTCATTGAGCAGCCTACCCATCAAACCGGAGGGACCTGTGCCGCCGACGATGTCGTCTAGCCTGCGAAACCTCAACTCCTCACCTTCGTGGTAGGCATCCACGAACTCAGTGATGTCACTTGGAGGGGAGGCGAACTCGATCGGGGGTGATGAAGTTCCTTCTTCCACCGGAGTGCCCTGCATAGCACCCTAAGTGCTCGGCACTGCTTCTAGACTACTCGTCATAACTCCTGTAGTGTTCGGCCACACTGTAGGAGTGCCCAGCCTCAGTCTTGGAGTGGTCGGAACCATAGTGAGACGTCTTGGCTCCGCCACGGGAGTGCTCAACACCCGTCCTGAAGTGGTTGCCACCACTGTAGAACCTCCTGGCTCCACTCCTGGCGTGCTCGGCATCCCTCCGTGTGCTCGACACTCTTCCCGAGTGCTTGGCATCCCTCCCAAGTGCTCGCACCCCCGAAGTGCTCGACTCTGCCGCCGGCTGCTCGGCGCTCCCCGAAGTCGTGGCACTGTTCCTTGATGTCTCCACCGCCGTGGATGACAAAGTGCTTGACGACGAAGGTGTTGGTGAAGCCTCCCGCTTCCTCCGTGCTCGACGTGCGGTCCCAAAGCCGCCTCCTCGTTGAACACGTCGCCGCAGAGGCAGATCCACCTTGTCTCCGCGTGGGTCATAGAGCCGGTATGCCTTGGTACCCTCCGCGTAGCCTGGGAACACCATGGGTGTGCTCCTCGCCTCCAGGCTTGGTGAGGTTCGCCGCGTCTTCTGACGTGGCTAATGCAACCGAATGTCCGGAGGAATGACACGTTCGCTTGCTCCGTACCAAGCTTCGAACGACGTCTTGCCCGTTAGGGCTTTGGTTGGAGCGCGGTTGAGGATGAACACCGCCGTGGTCACCGCCTCTCCCGAAACTTTGTCGGCATCCTTTGGCCTTCATCATGGATCGGGCCATGCCGACCACCGTCTGGTTTCGTCGCCCACCATGCCATTCTTTGTTGTGGCGAAGTACGGCCGCGGTGTGATGTTGCCCCACACCTTGATCCGCGTAGTACGTAGCAAACTCCACCAAAGTGAATTCGCCACCCCGATCAGTCCTCAGTACACGGAGCTTCTTGCCGCTCTCGGCCTCCGCGCGCGTCTTGAACTTCTTGATCGCCACTGCCGCTTCGTCCTTGCTTGTCGGAGTTGCGACCACATGTAGCGACGCAATCGTCCCACGAGTAGGAGGAAGTACCGCCCACCGCCGCGTGTAGCGAGCGTGATCGGCCCGCAGAGATCGGCGTGAACTAGCTCGAGAGCTTCCTTCGCGCGATACTTGGCCGCCTTTTGGGAAAGGTAGCCTCCTCTCGCTTCCCTGCCAGTAAATTGTCCACACTGCTACGCCTCGTTTTGATGTGGGGTAGCCCTCGGACCATCTTTCCCGGTGACCACCAAGCGTCCGGGTGAGAGATGTCCGAACCGGGCATGCCACATCCATGGTTCCTTGGAGTGCCTTGCCGCCCGAGCAAACGGGCTCTCTACCTTCAGTCGAAAGGTGTACAACCGGTTCAGGGACCTCTTCACCTTGGCGAGAAGTCGCTGCTCCTGGTCTCTGATCCTCAGAACGTCGTCCTTGATCAGACCCTCGCTACCACGCTCATCCAGCTGACCAATGCTGATGATGCTGGAACGCAGCTGTGGGATGTAGTATACATCCGTTAGCGCGTGGTGCTCCCCGTTCTGGCATCTGAAGATGATGGTTCCGCGCCCTTGGATAGCCACCCTTGAGCCATCACTAAACTTCACCATACCGGTAACATCACCGTCGAGCTCGGAGAAGGAGTCCTTGGAGCCCGTCATGTGGTTACTGGCACTAGAGTCCAGATACCACCGCTGCTCCTGGTCGACACCCACATGCCCAAGATGGACTTGGGCGCGTGGTTCGTCAAGGTTGACGATCTTTAGGGCCTTCCCAGGTCCTTCCACCGTCGTCGCCTCTTCCCTCTCCATGGTCTCGACGTCGTGTAGTGCACAGAACATCGCCATAAGGATAGTGGCATCATCCTCATCATCGGCTTTCGCCAGGTGAGCCTAAGCCTTCTTTTCCTTTTTGCGATTTGGGCACTCCCGTGCCCAATGGCCCATCTTCCCTCAACACCGACAGGCGTTGAAGTCGATTTGCTTCTTCTCCGAAGAAGCCCTGCCGCAATGTTTGCCGTTGCCACCGTGACTGGAGGAGGCTGCCTTCCCGGAGTTTCACCGAGCAACCCACTCCTCTTCCGTCAGCAGGAGTTTCCCGCTGTCCTTCGTTGTTGTTGCCTGCTCTAGGCGCTCGTCCACCCCCCGTAGATGGCCTGCCACATCCTCAATGGTGAGGGTGGACAAGTCCAGCATCATCTCTATGGAGAGAGCGATCTGGATGTACTTTGCCGGCATGGAGTGGAGGAACTTGGAGACCGCCTCCTCTTCGTCGATGGTGACGCCGTGGCTCTTCAGCTTGCTGATGAGCGTCTGCAGGCGGAGGGAGAAGTCCACCGTTTCACCATCCTTGAACTTGAGGTTTGTGTACTCCTGCTTGATCGCCTTCTTTCTAACCGACGCCATAACGCCTAATGCTCCAACGGTTCCCTATACTCCACCGGTGCAATGCAGCGAGGATAGCCTCTAACGCCGACATGTCGTCTTCTTCCACGTCGGTGCCCTTGTCAACAAAAGATTCCGGAGCCGTCGCTCGAAGCTTGACCTTCATGGTCACCGACCACTCTCCATAGTTAGTGCGAGTGGCTCCAAGTGGTGCACCTCCCGTACCTCCGGTAGTGGTGGGCACCACGACAAAGTCCATTGCTCCGACCGCCATCATCATCGCCATTGGTTAGAATGACGACGGGCGCTTGTATCGATACCACTTGTTGGTCCACGTAGCCTCCCGGACCACTAGTCTCCCGACCAATGCCCCATTCTTTCGCACCACTAGTCTTCCGCACCACTCAGCCCCGGCACCACTAGGACCACTCCGTTGGTCTCACGGGATCAACGACGGTGAACCACTCCGGTCTTGCCGAGCACCGCTCGGGCAAGTGGAGCACTTGACGGTCTCGTCGAGCACGCGCTAGTATTGCCGAGCACACACTAGCCGTGCGAGACCATGGACGACACCTCCGTACTCCACACACTCACGATCGAGCTAGAAGAAGAAGGGAGAAGAGAGCAAGCACGCACAATACAAGACAACAACGTTGGTCGAGGCCCTGTCGTGTGATGGCAAATCTTCTCTTTCTTGAGTTGCCATACATGTCTATTTATACAACTCTAACTATCTAGTCCATGTGCATATAGATAACTTTGTGCACAAGGTTTCTAACAGCCGTGCGGCGCCACACACTATTGGGCTTTTTTGCATCACACAAAGTCGGCCGCCTTCCCTTGTGATGAAGTCGGCGCCCGTATTCCTCTCAGTTCACACAAGGTGGCAGTAGATTAGCTAACAGTGATGAGTTATAGGATCTAAACTTCTACTACAGAGCCTAAGCTTCTAACAACCATAAGCTGATGAATGTACTTGAAACTCTAAAATACCAATTGTTGCATACTTTTATATTGTATACCATAAGCTGATGAAAGAAACAGAAATATTTACAAACAATGATGGAAAGTAGGTAGAATTTATATTGTACCTTTTATCCCTGAGGAGTTCTATGATTTTGTCGATGTGCTGCTTCATTTCCCATGGTTCATCTATGAGGAGACACTTTTTATAGTCTAGTTGAAGGAGGATGTTCTTGAAAATCCTCATTATATCAGGATTAAGAGAAACTGAAACAAAAATATGGCAATCAAAATTTTCTTTAAAATCTTGAAGCAATAAATTGGCAAGAGTTGTCTTCCCCAATCCTCCAAATCCAACAATAGAAATTATGTTCGATTGCTGCCTCGATGGTGATAAGCACTCCTGTTCCAAGAGTCGCTTAGCTAGCTCCTTCTTTGGTTTGCCAATGCCAACCAACTCTGTCGCCTTTCTGTACATACCTTCTAAGCGAGGATCAACAGTCACCATAGTTGGCCTTGCAGCAATGTTGTCAATATTGTACCTATCACGACGCTCAGCGACCTTATTGACCTGGTCCATGATGTCTTTGATAACATTATGAATTTGATGGTTAGTCTTGGCCTTCTTGTACAGATCGGTGGCCTTACCAATGAGCCCCTTGAGGCTGAATGGTTCAGTATGTTCGTGCTCCTTGCAGCGTAACCGGAAGGTATCGACTTCATCTTCGATGTCATAGGAAAGCTCCCTCACATCGCTGGCCCAAATCTTGACCTGCTCATCAAACTGGTCCGGTGGCACCTCAGCCACCTTGCGGAGGGCTGCGGTCATGCTTGTCAGTTCCTCCTGGAGTTCCTGGATCTCTCCCTTGACACCCTTCTGCGGCTTGTACTCGCCCACCACCAACTCTGCGAGCTTGGGGAGGAGGGTGTTCATGGCTCCCATGACGATGTGCATCTTTGATGACTATTTTCTTTATTTCTTGTGTATATTTTGCAATTTGTGAAGCGTTGGGTTCTAGTGGCCTGCACAGGTCTAGAAAGGTGCGATTAATTAATAAGCCCTTGGGTTAATCAATAACACAAGGACCAAGGACCAGTGAAAGAATGGTTGACCATCAAATTAACCTAGCAATTTCATGAAATATCTGAAGAATACAGAAAGTAGAACACCACTCAAAATCAAGCTTGAGGCGTGAGTAAAGATTAGACAATTTTCTCCTTTAGTATGCCAAACTATCAATCGAGATCTAGATCCAACCAACAGACAGCAAGGAGCAAGAGCTTTATCAAGTTCTCACCTAATCGATCGCAGCAGATACCATCCAGCCGTGAGCAGCGTGAGCTCTGCCTCCGGCAGCCTCTCAGCTGCCGGTGACCGTCAACCCGCACGAAGACCATACCGTCGTCGCACACACAAGATAAGGCCGCTATCGTCACCGGCTAGGCTAGTACCGTAATTGCTAAAAGTACTACTAGTACTACAAAGTGTGAGCTGTCTTTGATTAAGAAATTAAATTGGCTTAGTGGGTGGTGCCGTGCTGTTTTATATAACGACAAGGAATTGCTTAAACTAGTGCAACAGTGACCTAATAAACAATTGTGGTGGTGTATAATGAATACCATCCATCACCGTATATCTTACTATTTTTTCTATTATATAAAGGGGACCAATTCAAACAAAACTTGGCACACCCCACATTTGTGTCCTCCACTGACATAACTCACACATTGTAAAGGATTGTGTACCTAGGAATACAACTTCATGGCTCTTAACCCTCCTAAAAGGCTTCAACTCGATCCGACATCCATGATTCTTTGGATCATCCCGATGGGCTTCAAAGCTTCATCCCCACACTACGTCACGCTCCCTCCACCCATCCCCCACGAGCGAAACTGGGTTTGATCCTCGTGGGTCCGATTTCCCACTGAAAAAGCCAAAAGAAGGTTTCTGCCGAACGAGATGTGCCCCCCACCGCCCACGAGGCCGCACGGGCCCCAAGACTCTGTCGGCTTGCCCCATCCGCCATAGCACCATTGTCGCTCCATGCCGCTGGAGCACGTGGTTGGCGCGCGGGTTTGGCACCCCTCGCTGCCCTGCCCCCTTGTCACGCCGACGTGGCCTCTGTCGGCCAATCCACGATAGCCGTCTCTGTTTTTTTGATTTTGTGAAAATGGAGGATGGTGGAAGGAATAGAAACGAGAACATAGTCGTTCCTGCAAATGTGCAAGAGAGAAAGAAAAGGTGGGAGGATAAAGATGGATTTTGTCGAAACCTAGGGTTCCTAATGCAAAATTTCCTTTTTTTTTTTTCTTTTTTTCGCATGGGCCTTTCCCTAGTGGGCCTCAGATGCCTGGGCTGAATCCAGGCACTTGTGTTGAGTGGGCCGAAGCTGGCCCATTGTGGGCCTTTTTTATCTTTTTGTTTCCTTTTCCCTTTTTCCTTTTTCTAGCAAAACTGATCTTCCAAAATCCATAGAAAATCACGGAAAAATCACAAAAATGCTATGAGAGAAGATAGAGTCAGGGTCTTATTTTAGATCGAATATAAAATATGTGTGAAATGGTCCTGTGTTGAATTCGAGCAGGGCTTGAATTCAACTCATCTTTTAATTTATTTGAAAAAATTTGTTTATGAAAATTTCCTTTACTATGGCTAGGAGCCTACGGTACGCTAGATACTCACGTCCTAGGGTTTCCCCTTGGCAAGCAGTGGCTGGTGGGCCTTGGTGGGCCAGCGGGAGCATGTGTGCCGCAGCCTAGGTGGGAGTGGAGAAGGGCTAGAAAGGTCCCTGCCTTGGGCCTTTCGGTTGGGCCGCGCGGGTGGCTGGGGAGGGAGTAAAAGCTGGGCTTGAAGGTAGGGAAAAAAAGTGATTTTCATTGCAATAGGAAGGTGCTACCACAACCATTTTAGGATGATTGTGTTGCAATTGGTTGGGAGTATTGCCACGACACTTTGGAGTTGCATTAGTATTGACTCTCATTGCAATTATTTGGTGCCACTGCAACCATATTGGATTTGGTTGTTGTTGCTTGCCACTATTGTCATGTTTGTTTTGGGTGGTAATAATCTTCAATGGTGTTGCAATAGATAGGTCGCTATGGCAAAAGAATGATGAGCGGGTCCCTTGTGTTAGTTTCTATCAAAAAGATTTGAGGATTCCTGCCGGAGCATATGCAAAAAATCAGGTCCTCATAAATGAGAGGAGCCCTCAAATCAAAAGTAGCAGGCCTGATTTGATAGCTCCTAGAGTTGCTCTAACAAATTAGCAAAATAAGAACAAATTGGATGCATTTAAGAAGATAAGAATAACCTAAAACAATCGAGTTTCACGCTTTTTCCGTGTTGCAATAAAACGTACCAAAGACATCTTTAGACCCCTTTTGACCGAACTCCTTAAGCTCCAGCTACGCGCTATAATACTAGAAAAGCCACGAACCATGGCTTCTTCTGGATCTACGCTCATTTTGTGAGAAGAGAAAAAAATGGCTTTCTATGAGCAATGCTGCCACAATGCTAGAGTAAAAGACGTGGGTGCTTAAAAAAACTGTGCCAAACTATCTTTTAGCGTTGGATGGAGGGATGAGCAGCTGAGATTCTTGAAAGCTACATCCGGCCCCAATCTTTGGACCAAGTTGTGACATAAAACTTCTTTAGCGGTAACATGTCAGTTGCCCACTTGTTCAGTGTTGCGTCAAAGTCAACACTCTTTTTTTAGGCACAAAATTAAATTCAATAATTGAGCCTCGAATGTATACATATATACTCTGTGGTGGCTATGGGGTTAACGCCACGAATGGATAAGCAAGCTAAGCACCACTGAGAGTATTTACTTGCTGAGTTCGGAAGTTGTGATGGAGACGGAGGCGGCTCCGAGCAGCAGCGGAAGCAGATGATCACGGGTGGCTTCATCCCTCCCTGTCAGGAACGTGCAAGACCTCGCGGCATGTCCTGAAGAGCTGACAGCCGAGACTCTCGAAAGGTACATCCGGCCGGACATTCAAAACCATGAAGTTCTAGTTGAGAAATCCAGCGAGGTTCCAATGATCGACCTTGACAAGCTCTTCAATCCCTGTTTTGTGGAAGAGGAGGCTGCTCGCCTCAGGTTTGCTTGCGAGGATTGGGGATTTTTTCAGGTACGTAGTTAATTTACTTGTGACAAGATGAGCCAGTAAGTATTGTTCGGTGTGGTGGGGGTTGAAGAGGGTTGAGGGGGATTAAATCCCCTACAAGTCAGAAACCCCTCTAATCCTTTTTGGGAGGGGGGTTAATCAAACTAGGCCTAACTGTTGAAAACTTTGAAATACATGAATTTTTGTTTTGTGCCCACGTTCTTCTTATGAAAATGTATTGATTTTTCTGAAATTTCTCTGTGCCAAAGGAGCCCTTAATTATGTTACCTATGTCAAACTTGTTTCTGATATCATTGTTTATTCACTTCTAGCAGGGGATCCAACAATTTTTGCTCTATCTTAAATTCAAAAAGCCTGATATGAGATATTAGCCTACTAATGTCAACTTCTCCGCCTCTCACAGCTTGTAAATCATGGAATACCAGACGAGATCATCACAAATATAAGAAGTGACATTCAGAGTTTCTTCCAACTTCCTCTGAAGGTGAAATGTGACTATGCACAGGTTCCAGGAAGCCTTCAAGGCTATGGCCAATCGTTTGTTGCGTCAGAAGGTCAAAAACTTGACTGGTGTGACAGGTTTGCCATCATAGCCCAACCGCCTCAGGCCCGTGATATGAAATATTGGCCTACTCAACCTCATACTTTCAGGTCAGCATGTTTAAACTGCAAGGATCAAGAGAAAATATATGTACTGATCGACTGCTGAGTTTAGACATTTCTCTTTACATATAGTATGGCGCGTAATTTAACTATTTAATCATCATGTCCTCTTGTTTTTTTTTGGCTGTGGCCAACTGGTTATCCTATGAGCCTTAAGCTCCTAACCTTCTGAGTTAAACATAATGGTACTGCTTCTTCCCATACATTTGCATTGGCCCTCTAGGGATGACATCAACACAGAATGAATATTGGACTAATATCAAACTTATCGGTCAACTTCATTCACTGACCACACAACCATTTAAAAGCTTTTAATTCTGATTCATGATATACATGCTGGCATTTTTTTATCTTAGAGTGATATATATTTATTCAATAAAACCATAGTAGGGAAGTTAAACAAGTCCCATAATTCTTCAGGTATTTTTTCTTTCTTAATTCTTCAGGTATTTTAAAACTTACTAAATCAATCATTATGTTAGTTGTATCTATATGCAACTTTTTGAGCTCATACATATATTCAATGATGCACTAAAGCTACTACAAAAAACTTTGGCATACATGATTTATCTAGATGTATTATTGGTCTATAAAAGTTGGCATAAAATGGGGATCTCCTAACATGGGGTCTTTGAGCATTACTGAACTCCATGACTAGGGCTTGATCCCGAAGACCTATAATCTCTACTAAAATCAATCATCAAGCCACAAGTATTTACCCCACGTTAGCTTTGTTGAAGGGGATCACCCGCCCTAAGTCTAGCCCTAAACAAACATAATAGAAGTTGTACATCAATATCATTGTTGTCAAATATGTTTAAATATAATCTTGAATAAAGATATAAAGAATTACTAGAGCAAAAAGATCATGGTGACTTTTCATGACAAAATAGCATATCCTTCTATGGTTAAATACATAGGATCAAATATGCTGAAATAAGGGATGAGTCAAACTACCTACCCTCAGTTTTAATAAGAGAGACATTCACAACTTCACAATTTCCATGCACTTTAATGTGTGTCATTGAATTAAGTAGTAATAATATGCATTTATTCTTTTTTGTGATGTCAGGAAATCTATTAATGACTACTCTTCTGAGTTGATGAAAATTGTTGGTTCTGTTGTTCACTTCATTGCAAAAACATTAAATATTGATCTCAAACTAATGGATGACAAATATGTGTCTCAAGTTTTGAGGATGAATTACTACCCTCCATGCATGACCATGGCCGAAAAGGTATTGGGTTTCTCCCCACATTCAGATGCATCTTTTCTAACCCTCCTTTTAGAAATTAATTCAGTTGAAGGCCTTCAAATTAAAAGGCACAATGCATGGACCATAGTGAAATCAAATCCTAAAGCATTGCTGGTGAATGTGGGTGACTTTCTTGAGGTATGAAATCATTTTAGAAAATTATGTTTGTCAAAGATATTCTAACTAGATGATGTATTATCTTCTTAAATTACTTATGGAATTATAGGAAAACATTAACCACTATTTGATAAATATATCACAACTTAAATAAAATAATCTTATATGTACCCTTTTTTAGACATTAATGCACGTTTACTTTAAATATAAAAGGTAATGCATCTTGCAAAAACATTGTTCATGTGTGCTTGCATTTAAGTTGTGCCTACCTGTTACATGAATGGGCCATGTTCATAAATTGTTTCTACAAATGTTTTGTCTACAACCTTGTGTTGAACTTCAAACAATGCTTCCATCACTAAAAGATCACCCTAGTGTGAAGGCGTGGGAATGGATTGAAATCCATGTCCATATCAAAGGGATACATGGCATATCCATATATGAGAATTTAAGAGACAAATCCAGTCAACTGAAATTAAAGCTGCAGAATTTCCAATACAATTTAGTCACCTCAAGTTTGAAGTCCATCCAAATTATCCAATTAGCCAACAGATTTGGGTGTGTTAGGTTGCTTTCATATGGCAACACACTGAGTGGATATATTGACCTAAAAAAAGAAGAGTGTTTCGTTGGTTGCATGGGCATAAGTGTGCAGCGAGGTAGAAGGATAAGAGGATAAGGATGTCAATCACTTTATTGCAAGTGACCATCTAGAGCGAGACGTTGATGGATGTAGCACCATTGAACTCCATTCGACGCAACTAGCGCCCGGACGCCCGATTTCAGGGGCGCGTCCGACGCACCTAGTCCACGTACGTTTCGATCCCGACCACGACTCGTCCTCCCGCGCCCACGGGACCACCTATCCGATGCAAATAGAATGAACGCGCCCCCGCGTCTAAAAATGAGCCCCCCCCCCGCGTGCGGCCCATTCACCGCTGCGCCGTCGTGCCTCGTCGCGTCGCCATCCCCTGCATGCCCATTGCCGTCCACGCCCATCCCCACCGTGCTCCATCACCTTGCAATCACGGAGCAATGCGAGATGCAAACATCAGAATATTACTTATTTTCAACATCAGAACAAGTCTACTGCAACATCAGAACAAGGCGACTGTAATAACAGAACAAAGCTGCTGCAATGCAAGATCGAAAAAAGAGACTAATGCAACAAAGAAATATTACTTGTTGCAACATCAGAACAAGGCTACTACAACAACAGAGCAAAGCGCAATGTGAGAAAGCAACATCAGGAAAAAAGACTAATACAACAAAGAAATATTACTTGTTGCAACATCAAAACAAGGCTACTGCAATGTGAGATGCAACATCTAAACAAAAAAAGAGACTAATGCAACAAAAAAATGTTACTTGTTGAAACAACAAAACAAGGCTACTGCAACAGAGCTCACCGGAACCCTAGCCACCGCCGCATCCCTGAGATACAGAGGAGGAGGAGGAGAGCTCAGATCCAGAGGAGGAGGTGGAGGAGGAGGAGGAGGGCTCAAATACCTTGCCGAGTCGCCGCCATCGCCCTCATCTCCAGTGGGGGTTGCATGGAGGTCACGGAGGGAGGGAGGGGCAGCAGTGACCTGGCGCGCGAGCGCGGTGGCACGGAGAACGGCGCGCGACGGGGCAGCGGAGTGGGTGCGGAGGAGCGGGCGAGCGGAGCGAGTGAGTGGGTGCGGCGGTCACGGGACGGGATGGGAATGGGTGGGGGAGTCGAGCGGAGAGCGACGGATAAGGCGCTGAGGCACGCGGCGGTCGGTTGAGTCATGCGGGGTCCATCCAGACGGGACGGACGCCCGCACGGTATCATTATCGAACTCCATTTATTACTCATCTTGCCTATTCCCAATTCTACTGACACCACACAAATGGGAGAATTCTAAACCTCTATCTCTTGACTCCTATTCCCTTCTCCAATTTCCTCCAACCATTAGACAATAAATTCAATCCCAGTTCTATAGACAATAGTAGAAAAAGTTTTTTCATGATAATATTTGGAAAGGGGTTTGTGCTCTATGCCCTAATTATATTTTACAATATAGTGCATTATATTTATTTAGATATATGATTACTTTTTGAATAATAAATGATGTACTAACTTGCTATCCCATTTGTCTTATTTTGTTTATTGGATGTTTGTAGATTGTGTCAAATGGAAACTACAAGAGTGTTGAACACAGGGTTACAATAAATGCCAATCAAGAACGGTTAACGATATCAGCATTTCATATTCCATCACTTGATGGAGTAGTTGCACCTGTGACAAGCATCGCAGAAGAGAGATCCTATACAAGACAATGGGAGTAGAAGAGTATTTAAAAATCTTTATGTCAAACAAACTGGAAGGGAAGAGAGCATTGGATCATGCAAAGTTATCATAAAAGAATGAAGATTTCTCCTAGGTGGGCCAAAGTGGTTGCTTGTAAGGGACTAGAACTATACAAAGATATGCAACCTCTTCTAAGTGTTAAAAAATAATTGTTTATCTCTATATATTTTCGTCATTCTATAAAAGGTCGTCCGGCATGCCACATTGTTCATGTTTGGCTTTAATGGTTCATGTTTATCAAGACTTCCATATTGTTGTTGCACTATGACAGAAACACCAATCTCTTACACCTTTTATCACTATGGTAAATTTAGAAGTGATAGTGGTAACACATCATCACTGTATGTTGGTAACACAAACTGATAATCCATCTAAGAAGAACCAAATAATGGCATTAAATGTTACCAATGTCGGTTCATATAACTTAAATGACGCCTTAAAAAAAAAAACGATACTATTTAGGTATCATGTCAATAAAGTGAGTTCAATGCAGTAGATCGTGATGGCATGTTTGATAACACTTCCTGTACATTACACCAAACCAATAACTAAAATAAACAATATCAATACTTTTTAAATTCATTGATTGGTTGATGACTTTTCTCCATGACTCTAGACTAAAGATGTATCGTGTGTAGGCCCTGTTTGTTTTAGCTTTATTGCATATTGTCGGTGTGAAAAGTGACCAACAAGTAAATATTTGTAGTTTTGTCGTGCGTTGTGATCGGATGTGGCCTAGCACGTAATGATGCAGGATTTATACTGGTTCAGGCAACGTGCCCTACGTTCAGTTTCAGTAGGTCGGTGACTATTCCTGAGCCCAGGTGCTCAAATTTGTTGTGGGGTTATAAACGAGTATGAATGAGAAGGGGGTGTTAAAGGCCTGGTCAGACTCTGAACCGAATGGAGGAGAGTGACGGGTGCTCTAACGTACGCTAAGTATTGGGGCGTATGATCCGTGTAGCTTTAGAGTTCTAGAGCTATTGAGCTATTTGAGTTCTCAGATTCTTGAGTGCTCGAATCGTCTAGCTTCTTTTTTTTGGAGGAGAGCCAGAGAGCTTTTTAGGAGAGAGCTCATCCCCTTTTATAGTCGAAGGGATGGCCTTACAAGTCAGAGAGAGAGAAAATGAATATGTGTGCTACCTAGTCTTGTTGCCCAAGTTATTGGGTACGAGACGGTCGTCGGCGCCCACAATACTGTTTATATTCGGACACATCTGGCAGGCTCTACCGTGTTCGCCTGGTACGGCAAACATCGGCGCCTACAATACTATTTGTGCTTTGTCACACCTATAAGGTTTCATAGTGCCCATCTGACATGGCTTGGTGGTACCGTCCTGTAGGTGCACATGGCATGGCAGAGTACGGTCCTTGGTATTGTGGTTGACTTGAGCGCCTTACCTTATCTGCTCCGCCTAATCCCTGGGCCTTCATCGAGCGGACGTCCCCCTTCAGTCGTTCCTAGTCGGCCCCAACCGTGTCGGTCGGGGAAGAGCCACGAGCAGAGGTCCAGCGATATCCCCGGTCAGAAAAGGAGGTCGAGTTGGACTATGGTCCCACTTTGGCCAGGACTTCCGGTCGAGGACCGGATCGTTGTCCTGGCCTATCGTTATGTATCTGGGCCGACCGGGAGGCGAGCATTGTTGCTATGCCATTTACTGGGTCAAGTTTTTGTAGGAAAGCGGGTCCATTGGGGACCCTAGGTTTATGAACCCGACAAGAGCCCCCGAGCACTTTTGGGACTTCTGTGAAGTCGTGAAGGGGTTGTTGACACTCGTTTCATGAGCTCACCCGGTGGGTGTAAGATTTTGTGTCGCCATCGGACAAGACGAAACGCTTACCCGAGACATCGGGCGAGATGGAGCACGAACCGTGGTCGGGGGGTTAAGCGAGACGGAGCGCATACCCAAGTGTCGGGCGCCAACCCAAGTGTCAAGCACGGCCGAGGGGTCGGGTGAGACATAGCGTGAACCCAAGTGTCGGGCGCCAACCCAAGTGTCGGGTGCGGCCAAGGGGTCGGGTGAGACGTAGCGTGAACACAAGTGTTGGGTGCCAACCCAAGTGTTGGGTGCGGCCGAGGGGTCTGGCGAGATGAAGCGCGAACCCAAGCATCAGGGGTGGCCAAGGGGCCAGGCGAGACGGAGCACGAACCCAAGTGTTGGGCGCGGCAGAGGGGTCGGGTGAGACGTAGCGCGAACCCAAGTGTCGGGCGCCAAACCAAGCGTCGGGCGTGTGGCCGAGGGGTCGGCCGAGACATAGCGCGAACCCAAGTGTCGGGCGCCAACCCAAGTGTCGGCGCGGCCGAGGGGTCGGGCGAGACATAGCGTGAACCCAAGTGTCGGGCGCCAACCCAAGCATCGAGCACGGCCGAGGGGTCGGGCAAGACGTAGCATGAACCCAAGTGTCGGGCGTGCGGCCAAGGGGTTGGGCGAGACATAGCGCGAACCCAAGCATCGGGCACCAACCCAAGCGTCGGGCGCGTGGCCGAGGGGTCGAGCAAGACATAGCGCAAACCCAAGTGTCAGGCGCCAACCCAAGTGTCGGGCACGGCCGAGGGGTCGGGTGAGACATAACGTGAACCCAAGTGTCGGGTGCCAACCCAAGTGTCGGGCGCGACCGAGGGGTCGAGCGAGATAGAGCGCCAACCCAAGCATTGGGCGTGTGGCCGAGGGGTTCATCTAGTTTTGTGCATGACCCTATCCATGGTTTTTGCAACCAACGGGGTTGAGCTAACATCGCTTGCCTCGATGGCTCGAGTGACGCGCTCGGTGAGCTTAATAACGGGTACGTCCGAGTGGAATCCAGGTCGATCGTTCATAACAGGGTCAGCATAGCCCTCATGTGGCATTCCACTGCTCCTTAACCCGCCACCCTATAGATGCCCGAGCTATTTTGGAGACCAACTCAGGTGGCCCGCTGGCCTCCCCTCGATGGAGATTTTGTGGGCATGGCTCGAGGTTAGGATCGAACGAGAAGGTCGAGATGACCCTGTCCGCTTCTGAGTGGATCGAGTGAGGACCGCTGGGGCTCATCTACGTTTTCCTCCCCAGCTCTGTTTGACGCGAGGCGGCCTCGATCCCTTTATGGGCCGGCCTTCGAACCTTGGTCGGTCGTCGCTCATATCAAATGAGACAACTACCGCTTCATGACGCAATACAAACCGTTGTGATGCAATGATTGCATATGCAATGCTTGGATGTATGGGATGAATATATGGATGAATGTATGAATACATGCATGAGAATGGATGAATGAATGATCATGCACTAGAAAATAAAAAGGGGTTTGGTAAAGTTACCTCGATGGCTCAAGTGATGGGTCTAGGAAGCTCCTATCGGATATGTCCGAATGGGATCCGTGTCCATCGTTCATGACGGGTTGGTACAACCGCATGGGGCATCCCGCTGCTCCTCACCTGTCTCTCGACAGTCACTCGAGCCATCCGATCGACTCAGGTGACCCGTTGGCCTCTCCTCGATGGAGATTTCATTGGTGGGCCTTTCCAAACCCTGCTTGGGAAGGTGGAGGGTCGTTTGCGTGCGGTTTGCACCTTGTTTCCTGCGGTCCGGGTTGTGGTAGTTGTGGGCCCTACCTAGGCCACATCCCGTTATCTAGGCGACGTTTGGTTGGTCAGGACGCGTCCCATCAGCTAGGGGCATGTCCCGTCGCATGCCTTTCCGCATTAAATAGGGGAAGGGAGATGATTTTCCTCCCATTCTTTCTTCTTCCTTCAACCACTGCCATTCCTCCTTCCTCCTTCCTCCTTTTTGCCAAGTCTATTCATATGTCATGGTGGTTTCTAGGAGAGAAGAGGGTAGAGCGAGGGAGAGGAGAACTCACAGATTCATTTGTAAATCCAAGGCACGATGTTGAACTGGAGGCCTTCTAATGTGGATGAGGAGGTGCTGAGCGCCTTTGCCAAGAAGGGGCTGCTCCCATCGAAGGAGGTGGCGCATTGAAGGGCTCCTATGGTGGGGGAGGTTGTTCCGCAAGCCCTTGACTTCCATGAGTGCGGGCTTGGGTATCCTGCGCACCGGTTCCTATGCTGGCTCCTCAATGAATGGGGCCTAGAGTTGCAGCACCTAAACCCGACTGGGGTACTGCACATCACTGGCTACGTCACCATTTGCGAGGCCTTCCTCGGGGTGGAGCCGCACGTGGACCTCTTCCGATGGATCTTTAGTGGGCGAGCCCTGTCTAAGGGGAAGCCAGCCAGAATCACGTCGGTTGGGGGATTTGCCTTGTAGAAAAAGACAAAACCGTCGGTCCCCTACCCTGCATACTCGCCCTGTGACTCCAACCCGGGGTGGCACGGTGAGTGGTTCTACATCAGAAACCCAGTGGAGGCGCCATTCCCAACGTTCACCGGAAAAAGGCCAGAGAGGAGGGAAAGCTGGTCGTGGTTTCCTGCCGGTCGACAGAACAAGTTGGAGGTTATCGAGACGGAGCGTCAGAGGCTTGTGCAGCATGGCCTTGATGGGTTGCGGGTCTTCCATACCTTCTTCCGCCATCGGGTCACCCCGTTGGTGGAGAAAACGCCGCCGATGTGGGAATACTCCGGCCCGGTGGATCCTGACCATGCGTCGCCGGAGGAGTCGCCAAAGGATGAAGTCTGGAGTCATCTCGATCGGGTGCTGCAGTTGGGGGATAAAGACTCCCTCAAAGGGATGCCTGGTCCCCTTCATGCCACGAAGCTGTACAATTTGGTATGCCCCCCTCTTTTTTCACGTGACCTTTTTTTCTTGTTCTTCTTGTTTTGATTGATTTTGAGTTGCCCGTTTTGAAGGGACTCTCGGGCTATAAATCCTAGCCGCATCTTCTAAGAGGGCCAGAAGGTGCAGCTCTGCAAGCTGCCCAGAGGGAGGCCATGCTTGTCAAGAAGAAGAAGAAAGCCGAGAAGGCCTAGAGGAGGTTCGATAAGGAGAAGGAGATCAATCGGCGGGTCCAGGGGGCGAGAGCTAGAGCGACATGGAGGTGG